AAAAAAAATGTACTTCCTAAAATGCAAACAGAAATTTATGTAACTCAGTTTTTAAAAAAATGCTCTTTAAATCCTAGCTATAAAATTATGATTAAAGAATAAAAATCATTTAATAGAATATTATTGCCACACCAGATGGATTTTTAAAAGCTGTCTAGAATGAATAATTGCTGACTTCTCTAAAAAAATTATTTCTTAAAAATCATGTTGTAAAGCTAGTGGTTTCCAGTGGGGAGAGGGAAAGGGGAGGGGCAATATAGGGGGAGAGGATTAAGAGGTACAAACTATTATATTTAAAATAAGCTACAAGGATATATGGGACTTCCCTGGCAGTCCAGTGGTTAAGACTCTGTGCTTCTACTGCAGGGGGCACGGGTTTGATCCCTGGTCAAGGAACTAGGATCCTGCGTGCTGCACGGCATGGCCAAAAAAAGAAAAAGGGATATATGATACAACACAGGGAATACAGCCAATATTTCATAATAACTATAAATGGAGTATAACATTTAAAAATTGTGAATCACTATACGGTACACCTGAAACATATAATACTGTATATCAACTATACTTCAATTAAAAGTTCTTGATTTAGGAGAGTATATATTAAATTGCATTTATAATCTATCTTCCAGTTTTGTTTTAACCATGAAATAGAAAGAAGAGCCAGAATTTTCTTTTATGTCCACTGTACAAAACAGGTAAATAAATTCAAAACAAATTCTACTGAATCAAAAAATGTTCCACTGATACTTTCTTGGAAATAAAAACCCAAGTCCTACTTCTCCTCAAAAGTATTCAAGGAATAGTAGACACCCTGACCCTGCATGAGTTAATCCATGTTTTTTCTTCTAAAGGGCACACAATGAAAACTCAAATGATTAATGTTAATTCTTCAGTTTGAAATGCAGCATCACAAATGACTGTGATTCTTAAACAATTTACATTTGCTTAATAATGTAATAAGTTTGCCAAAAGAGGAAACCTTTAACACCATTCTACTCTGAGCACACCTGGCTTCCAGAGGAGAAAAACAAAACATGACTCCCCTTCATCTCTGAAAGCAAAGGGCAAACCATGTTAATTTATATCTAAAATAATTTCACTTCCCAAGGAAAATGAATATAGTATACAGAATTTCAACTTTTCAGAAATTCTAAACTAAAGAATTTATGTTGTTCAAATTAACCCCCCCAAAAACCAAACAACAACAACAACAACAAAAATTAACCCAAAGCCTCTACTGTAGATAATTTTTAGGCTAGGATGTGTCTGTGATCATTAATTCCCTAGTAAGTAGACAAAGGTAGCATTGGTGGAGGATGGAGACAATAGCTGAAAACACCTACTGACCATATGTGATTTACAGCCAGCTCCATAAGTATCCACTCAGCAGGATAAGGGGTACTGCCAAGTACTGCCCTAAGATCTTCAAGAATGAAACCTGGGCTTTTAAATTCCCAGGCCTCTGAGAAGTGGGATGTTTCAAAGAGGGTTCAAAGATGATAGGTCACAAATCTAATAAAATAAAAACAATTATATAGTAATAACCATTCATTACTATGACACAACATACACACAGGCACTTGCACACACATTGGTAAGGTTCAATAACAAGTATATCCTAATGTTGTCATCTTTTCCTTACTTATCCAATTTTTCTTGCAGACTTACGTATCAGTATCACAGGGAACTTTTAAAACAGACAGGTTTCTAGGCACCCAACCCCAAATCACTGAATGTTACTCTCTTGGGAAAGAAGAAGGGCTCAGGTAACGGTATTTTTCTTAAGCTCCCAAAATGGTTCAGCAAAACACCTTCACGCTAGCATTTGGGAATCACCACATAAGATCTCTTCCTCTTGAGAATCACAGCTCCAGTTGTACTGTAGTTTTTGGTTTAAAAAAAATTATTTTATTAAAAGAAAACATATACTAATCAGATTTGAGGGAGAAATAAAAGAAAATTTCCAAAGATAAAAAAAATTTGTAAACATGTAAAATTTGTTTAAAAAAAGGAAATGTGTGTATTTATATGCATAGACTATCTCTTGAGAATGACAGAACTTGTTAACATTCATTGACTCCTAGGAAAGAAATTAAGTAGCTGAGGAACAGGGGCAGAAGGTAGACTTTTCACTACTGCATTTTTTTGTACTTCATAAATTTTGAGCCATGTTAGTATATTACCTACTAAAAATAAATAAAAATTTAGAACACAGCTGACCCCTGAATGACATACATGGGTTTGAACTGCACAGGTCCACTTATATACACATGTAAAATATATTACAAAATGTATGTAATATATTTTAGGAGGTAACATATTTTAGTAGGTAATATATTCAATACTTTGAATCTCTGGATGTGGAGTCACAGATATGGAAGAACCTATGCTTTCTACCTGCCTTTTCATTCAAAATCCTACCTGCCCTTAAAAGTCTTCTCAGATTCTACATCCTCTGTGAAGTCTCTTTTAATCTCTCCACTTAGCCTACTTCCCCCAGTCCATTAATCAGAGGAGTATTAGGCTTAATTTGGGAATATAAATGAATATATCTGCCTTTCTTTTTTAAGCAAACATATCTGAACTCATATATCCAAATGAGTGGTATCCTTTGAAGTCATCACTTTCCATTTATTTATTTATTTTAATTTTTTTAAACATCTTTATTGGAGTTTAATTGCTTTACAATGTTGTGTTAGTTTCTGCTGTATAACAAAGTGAATCAGCTATAAGTATACATACATCCCCATATCTCCTCCCTCTTGTGTCTCCCTCCCACCCTCCCTATCCCACCCCTCTAGGTGGTCACAAAGCACCGAGCTGATCTCCCTGTGCTATGCGGCTGCTTCCCACTAGCTATCTGTTTTACATTTGGTAGTGTATATATGTCCATGCCACTCTCTCACTTCGTCCCAGCTTACCCTTCTTCCTCCCTGTGTCCTCGAGTCCATTCTCTACATCTGTGTCATTATTCCTGTCCTGCCCCTAGTTTCATCAGAACCATTTGTTTTTTTAGATTCCATATATATGTGTTAGCATACGGTATTTGTTTTTCTCTTTCTGACTTATTTCACTCTGCACGACAGACTCTAGGTCCATCCACCTCACTACAAATAACTCAATTTCGTTTCGTTTTATGGCTGAGTAATATTCCATTGTATATATGTGCCACATCTTCTTTATCCATTCATCTGTCGATGGACACTTAGGTTGCTTCCATGTCCTGGTTATTGTAAATAGTGCTGCAATGAACATTGTGGTACATGACTC